CACATTCATAATTTCGTATTTCTGGAAGTTAATGGCAGTGTTTTACAAGCAAAGCTCTGGAAATATCAAATATTTAAAAGCAGACAGATAGGAGTTCCTCTTGTAGGATCTGTCACATGGATTCATTATGAATCATTTGGATCCCACACAGCTGTCACAATTTCAGTCATGAGAGCCCAGACATCACAAACTAAAGCTTTATTTTTAGATGGATTCATTAGTTGTCATTTTTCAATCATCCCAGAATTAATGGAACTGCATTGTGTGTTCTCGTGTGGCTCTAACCTTACGATCAACACTCTCAGTGATGGGAAGTGACCCCTGAGCTTTCCCCTGAGGAAAGAATCAGTGGCTGTAAGTAACTAAATCAGCTGATGACACAGCTCCTTGTCTATAAAAACCACACCACAAACATCACCTTTTCTAAATTTCACTGCTGGCAGACACTGTCACATTAACGACTCTCCAATGCCCCTGCTTAATTTCCCACCAAGCAGAATAAAAATAGAAGCTACAAAGCACTTCCAAGGGTTGAGTCTTAATGTCAGGGCACAGTTGGACATCCTGCATCACAGAAACAGCATCGTGTCTACAGATGGAGTCAGCAGGAAAGCCCCGGCTTGCAGAATAAAGGCAGGGCCATCCCATCATGAGCTGGGGAAGGAGTCACCCTTGGGAATGAACTGGCACAGGGGGAAAAGTGGTGAAGCAGCAAATTAAACTGTAACCAAAGTTCAGAAGGAAACACAAAATTCCTACACCTTTTCCTGCGGCTTCCAAGCAGCAGAGCTGGGCTCAGCACAGGTAAACAAAACACGGGGCTGCTCAGCTCCATAAGATATCCTTGACACGGCTCCATATCCCCAACCCAGTTCTGTTCCAACCCTTAATAACTCTTGTCTTTCATGGCTGGAAACCATTCAACACATCCACTGCTTCTGAGCACAATTATTTATTCCATTAATTCAGGATCCAGGAAAAGGCCGTGCCTTAATTACAACAACATGTGCAGAATTGCAAAGTCAGTTCCCAATCACTGGCTTCTCAAGGAGGCTCCAATTCTCCAGGAAAACATTTGCTCTCCTAACACAAGGAGATCGGATGGTCCTCGTGGGTCCCTCCCAGCTCAGGATATTCTAAAAAAAGTCAGTTTGCAGACAAATTGATGGGAAACAAACAAACAAACCCATGTTTACTATAAACATTTACTAAGACAACCGAAATTCACTCATGTTTTCTTCCAATTTTTCTTTTGACTCCCTATTTTTTTATTTAGGATTCAGAGAGGAACAAACACGCAAGGAACAAGACACACAAACCAAAAGCAAACAAAGGTCTCTCTGACAGCCCCTGTGGCTTCCAAGAGTCCCATCTCCAGAGTTACCCGGAGCTGTCTCAAGGCAAGGGATCGTCACCCAAATGCTTTCAGTAGCTGCATGTGAGAGTGTTATTTAAATGAGACAGAATTTACAGGCCCAGAGCATCCCCCCACGCGCAGCCCTTCGCCTTCCATCACCTCCAAGGCGAGGGTTTGCGAGTCCCTGTCACTCAGGGGTGAAGGAGAGAAAATGACGGGCAGACGATTTCAAAGACGTTATTTTGAAAACAAACATTCCGTGTAGTTGTTTCCTTCCCCCCCCCCAAAAAAAAAAAATGTTTTCACCACTCAGAAGAAACAAAAAAAAGTCAACCCACCTCCTGTGGTAACGGGCCAAGGCTAACAGCTCCCCACACAAGGAAGACGTGTCAACAAACAATACCCACATTCCACCAGGGGATAAAAACACCATCAACGTGAAAGGCTCCGGCTCTCACGGGTAAGAAAGGGGCTGCATAACATATAAAAGGATGCTTGGCATGATCTGTCCCACCAAACATGAAACCTGCACCCCAACCACGGCGTTATTCTGGAGTCAGGTTCGTATTAGTTTCCCACAAACCTGCTCCCCTTTATTTTTATTTTTTTTTTTTCTATTTCCTGGCAAGGCATTTAACTGTGCAAAATTGCCTCGCCAGCGACAGATGTGAGTACAAAGAGAAGTGATTTGCTACAAAAGGATTAATACATTTTGAAAGTTACTGTCTGGCAACCTGTCAAAGGGACTTTTATTGGTTTATTTTATTATGGCTGTCGATAAGCCCGGTGGCACACAACCCACATTGGTGTGCAGGGACCAGAAGGATGGCAGATATCCCCTGGCTCTGCTCACAGCCCTGGCCTGCACCACCACAGAGGGCCTTTGAAAGTCTGGCCCTTGTCTCCTCCAGCATTCCCAGGACAAGGAATGCGCGGGCAGAGGCGAGCAGGGCATGTGCCCTTGCAAGTGGGCATCTGACCACTGGCCACTTGTGTCACCTGTTTGGCCACTGAGCATTTCATACATGTTTGACCCCCAAGGATGTGACACCCGTGTGGCCACCCAGGATTTGATACCCATGTGACCACCAAGGATTTGACAGCAGCCATCTGAGCACAGCCCCTTTGACCACTGACCACTTCACACCCATTTGAGCACAGACCACCTGATGACCCCCATTTGACCACTGACCATTTTGTACCAGTTCAACCAGGGAAGGGACCATTTAACACCCCTTTGGCCCCCAAGGACTTGACAGCTGTTTGACCACTGACCTCTCGTCACCCGTTTCACCCCCAACCAACCCTTCTGACTACTGACTGCTTGTCACCTGTTTGGCCACTGACCATCTGATACCTGTTCGACCAGCCTTGTCACCCGTCTGACACCCGACGATCTGACACCCACCAGACCCCGGAGGATCTGACACCCACCAGACCCCGGAGGATCTGACACCCGTCTGACCCCCAGGGATTTTCATCCGCTGTCTGAGCACAGCCCCAGTGTCACCGTGTGACCACCGACCATTCCACACCCGTTTGGCCGCAGGTGCCACCTTGTCACCCGTGTGACCGGGGACCGCCTGCCACCCCTTTGACCCCCGGGGATGTGCAGCCGCTGTCCGAGTGCAGCCCTTGCAGCCGTTTTGACCATTTGTGTGACCCCCGAGGATGTGACAGCCCGCGGACCCGCCGATCTCTCCCCACCCGCTCCACGCACCCCTTCCCCGATGCCCGCCGTGCCCCCGATGCCCGGGCGCTCCCGCGGCCTCTCCCGGTTGCGGTGACAGCCGCGGGTCGCCCCGGCCCGGCCCGGGGACAGCACCGGGCGGGCCCGGGGGGGCTGTGCCGGTGTCTCCGGCGGGTCCCGGGGGTGCCCCGGGCGGCTCCGGGGCGGGATGGCGGCAGCGCCGACCCCGCTCCGGGCACGGCCGGGCGCGCCCGCCATGTTCGCGGCGGCGGCGGCTCCCGGGGCCGAGCCGGGCCGAGCGGGGCCGGGGCCGAGCGGGGCCGAGCCCGGCAGGTGCCCCGGGGATGCTCCGAGCGCTCCGCCGGCGCCGCGGGGGGCTCCGGGATGCGCCGGCAGCGCGGCCGCTCACCCGAAATCCTGGTCCATGGACTTGAAGAAGAACTTGTAGCTGTGCACGGGCCGGTTGCTGAGGACATTTTTGAAATCGGCCAGCGTGACTTTCTCCGGCGGCACCGGCAGCTTCACCAGGTAGGGCGTCTCCTCCTCGTCGATGTGGTAGATGATCTTGGTCTCCGCCATGGGCGAGGGGAGCGGGGGCGGCCGGCCCGGGGCCTCTCGGCCGGCGCTCGGCTCCGCTCACGGCCTTCCCGACAGGAAGGGAGCTCCCGGCTCCCGGGATTCCGCTCCCTGCACTGCTCTCTAGCTGCCCGACCCGGGAACGGCAGCGCCGCCCGCCCCGCCCGCATCCTCCTGCGGCCGCCCCGCCGGCTGCCAGCGGAGCCCGGCCCGGCCCGCCCGGGGCTGCGGGTCCGGGGGGGTCCCGGGGTGCGGGTCCGGGATGCGGGGGGTGCGGGGGAGAACCCACCTCACCTCCCCGGTGCGCCCTCCGCCCGCACCGCGCCCCCCGCGCAGCGCCCGCACCGCGCAGGAGGGATGGGATGGGATGGGATGGGATGGGATGGGATGGGATGGGATGGGATGGGATGGGATGGGATGGGATGGGGATACGGATGAGGATGAGGATGGGAAAGGGAAGGAGAAGGGATGAGGATGGAGAAGGGAAGGAGAAGGGATGAGGATGGAGAAGGGAAGGAGAAGGGATGAGGATGGGAATGGGAAAGGCAAAGGCATGGAGGTGAGGAACGGAAAGGAGATGGGGAGAGGAAGGGGAAGGAGGAGGACAGGGGTGGGAGCAGGGTCGGGACGGGGAGGGGGAAAGAGAAGGGGAGGGGAAGGGTTTGGGATGGGAAGAGGGATGGGACGGGGAAGGAGGAAAAGGAGGGGAAGGGGATGGGATGGGGAAAGAGAAGGGAATGGGGTAGGATGGGGAGGGGAAAGGGACCAGACAGGGAAGGGGATGGAGAAGGGGAATGGAACAGGGATGGCGAAGGGACAGGGATCACAGAATCACAGTGCCCTGTTTTGCAGGTGATGTATTTGGGAAGAAAGAGTTCACCTTTATATTTCTAGAAATCCCCAAAAGATGGCAACCAGAAAACGAACATTTCAGACTTTAGGTCTCGAGGAATCTTTTGTTCATTTAAAAAAATCCTTCTTCAGGTAAATCCCAAGCTAATGATGTTCTCTCTTCTACCCTATCAAAGGAGGGGGACATTCCCTTCTCAGAGTGCTCAGCTGCTCTCTGTGAAGGGGTAAATCACAGCTCAGTGACTGAATTACCTGTGGCACTGGAATGGTTTTCCTACCAGCACAAAACAGAGGAGCCAACTGTGTTAGTGGCTGCCAGAAGGTTTGTAAACATTATTGCTATTTATTATTTTCAATTTTCTGAAAGTTTAATCATCACCAGGTCCCGGATCCTGACTGGGAACTTCTTTACCAATGACACTGGATAATGCACAACTCAGCAGGGTTTAACAGCCCTGAGAAACCAAAACATCATCACCTGCCTGCTGCCATTTCTGGTACAGTGAAGGAATTACAAAATCACAGCCCCTGAGGTTCTCCTCACTGCTAAATGGGAATGTTTGTGTGATCACCAAATGAGATAAACAGCAAGGTAAAGGTATGGCCTTAGTCTTCATCCTGTAACTGTGATCTGGTGCTGGTTTGAGCCAGGAATGACCCACTCAGTGCATTTCAAAGAGCAATTTTCAAGAGTTGTTTCTATGTGTATAAAAAAAACTTCTCAGGATGGTTGGTCGTTTCTCACCTTTTTAATTTTGGCATTCTGAGAGCCCTGAAGATTTCTGTGAAAATATGTGCTCAGCTTTCTGTCCCACGTGCGCAGACACCAGTTAAGGCTCTGCAAGCACCTTGGTGTAGAAAGTGCTCCATCAACCCCCAAATTCTACCACCCTTAAGAAACTCCGGGCAAAGACTGGAAGGCTCCCTTTTGGCAGGAATAACTCTGGTACAAACTGTATCTTCTGAGGGACTGACCTTTATTTTGCAGAGTGAGACTCAGGCAAAATATTAACACCCAGCCCTTTGGTCTCTTCAGCTGGTACTTAACGAGCTCCTGAGTTGCTCAGAGGCCCAGGTGGTGCCCACACAAAGGCTGAAGCTGCAGAGAGTCTGCTCTTGCTCCCTGAGCTTCGCTTTCACTCTCGACAACTGAAAATATAACGACTCGTATAATTGTCAGATGACTACCTGGGAACGGGCGTGATAAGACTGGATCTGTGACTCACAAAAAGCTTTCTGTGTCCCCCATAAAGCACGGAAGAGAGGAGAAAACCCACTTTCATGTTGCAGTCAAACCACAAGCTAATCCAATTAAAGAGAGGACACAGGAATGCAGGAGACACCACTGGTCCATCAGGGCTAATATCTCGTTTCTTGCAGAGTTCAGGCCTGAACACTTCAGCAAAAAATAAATATGAGGCACAAAATCCCTTGCTAATAGTGCTGTGCTCTCTGTGATAGAGGAAATAGTCTTGCTGACCCCTGCAGGGAGCTGAGAGTGTCCCGAGGCATAAAAGCTGCTCACCCTTTTCTTCCTTCATGCAGCAGTGCACTTGGTTACCACACAAGGAATAGGCAAGGCCTTTTAAAAAGCCATCCTTTGAATTATAGCAACGGTTGTTGCTTGTCTCAGGGAATTCTGAGAGCTCATCACGCTCTGGGTGCTCAGCAAATCAGTGTTTGTGCACAGGGAGGTGACAAAAGGAGAAACCAACGCTCTGGGCACCCACTCGGCGATTCCAGGGGTATTTTTCATCCACCTGCAAGAATTCACTTGTAAAAGAACAGAATCCCCTTTCCCTGGGAGGACTGTTGGCAAGATTAGCACGGGTGCAGAATGTGAACTGAACACGGAAATGATCCTAAACCAGAAAGAGAAGCGGGAAAATATCGCTGCAACAACGTCTTTGGGATGTGCTAGAGAGGCTGCAGGCTGCTGCCAGGGTGGGGTGTGGCAGGGGGATGCAATCCAAGGCACTTCACACTTCTGCCTCTGGTCCAAAAGATCTGCAAGGGTTTTTTTTTTCCCCCATTTATTCTTCCTCTCTGTGCAGTGGACCGCGGGCAGGACTCGGTCACAGCAGCTGGCAAGCAAATAAAGCCATGAAACACTAGAGGGAAGCAAAAGCCTTCGAGTGCAGCTCTGGAGCCTCCTGGGCAAAGCTCCCCGGGGCTTCCCTGGCCGCTGGATTTAAACACGAAAAAACCCAGGGGGAAACGACAGGAGGCATTTGCAGGGACATTCCCAAACCCTTCTTAACTGAGGAATGTGTGGTACGGAGGGATTTTGCCCCACAGGTCACATGGGAGGGGAAAAGAGAAGGATTGAAGACAACTTTTTGTTGGTTTTCAAACAATTCCATTAATTAACCCAGTTAATTTACTGGGTTGATCCCAGCTCCTGCTTATCAGGATCCAATCTATTTTCTTTCCTCTGGGTTTCCTAACCTCTTCTTAGCAGCTGCAGCACTTAAAAAAAAAGAGTCACACTTCTTTAAAAAAGGAAGAGTCCCTACAGCAATTGTCTTCAGAGCAGCTCATCTGCCGAGGGCCACCTACAGACCTCTGGAGAAGGAGTGTTTTTTGGCTTAGAAATGTCTATTCAGGTCTTTATCCTGCTTCTCTCAGGTCCCCAGTGTTTATTCTTCCCCTCAGAAATTTGTTCTGTTAATGACTTACAAGCCAGACTCTGCTCAGACTGGGAGGCAGAAAGGAAATGGGGACAATCTGGACTTGGTTTCAGACAAGTGGGAGACAATGACAATATTTAATTTCAGTGGTCTGCAAAGCAGGCCCTGTGGGGGCTAAACCAGCTCCTCCTTGTTCCCAGCTGCTTTCCTGGAAAACCAGATCCGTTGCCTGGAGACAGGGAAAAGTGACAAGATGCCCCAGCAAGAACCCAGCAGAGACCAGTAAAGCCCCACAGCAGCACCAGGGAGGGTGTTTAGGATGGTGATTCACCCCAGGGAAGAGGTGCTATGGAATGGCAGGAGACTGGATGGAGTGGGATCTCCAGCCAGGGAAGAGAGCAGTTAATACTTTCAGCAGAGCTGGACGAGCCGGTCGATAATCTCAGTTTGCTGAAGTTTGCACTTTTTTGCCCACTTTTTAGTTCCATATCCTGCTTTGATCCTTCAAATTCCTGCCCCTGCTGCCGTCCATCCGGGCAGCAGTACAAGCTGTTTCCATCAGTGTCCCTGGAAGAACTCTGGTGCCAGCTGGGAAACTGCTCAGGGGGGTGGAAGCCCTCCAAGAGCAGAATGTGCAGCAGGAACTTCACAAGGTGTCAGTTCTGCAAGGCAAAGAGGAATTTGGGCTGGGAGGGAAATGCATATTCCAGCAGGATGTGTTATCTTCCCTTCTGGGCCTGCAAAGTGAAATCCTGGGGAAGAGCTGCCAGCCTTCACCTCTGATGGATGGTTTGACCTCCATCCACAGCTGCGGGTCCACCCCTCATCCAACACTTTTGGAGAGCTGCAATTTCTCCTGTCAAATAATAATGCCCCATGTGGAAAGGATATTGGGAGTCACTGGAATAACTCACTGAAGCCAACCTGCACTTTGTAAAGCGCTTCAGGATGCTCTGAGATGAAACACCCTGCACAGCTATTGGGAAGAATTAGCTAATGCTGGCTAATGGCTGAGATAGCATCTGCAAAGGGCAAGAAATAAAAACAACCTGAGCTGGAAACTCCATTATATTCTCCTTTATTTCTTAAACGTCAGGAGAGTTACACAGCCATGACAAACGGTAAAAGTTAAAGCAACAATAATAATGAAAATTGGTTCAGTTACAACAAATTAAAAAAAAAAAGAAAACAAGCTTTATGGACTAAGCCCTTCTCTCAGACTGGAGAGGAAGCAGAGTGTGCACAGAGCTGAAAAGGGTCTAGTTCTAGTCTCAGTTTTAACCCCTTTTAAGGTCACTGCCAAACACCCCCTTTCCTTGTCCCACACCAAGGGCTCACAGTCCACACATTATCCTAAAAGAGACTTTGATTTCTCTGCCCTCACTGAGGATGAACTGCTGTAAAAATTAGGGATTATCACTATTTTAACTCACTGAACATAAAATGGATCTCTCAGGGAGGCTGTGAGGAGGCAAAGCCTGCAAAGTGACAGGCAAAGAAGTCTGTCAAGGTGCAGCATTTAATTGGTACAGGGAGAACATCATTTTGAATAACTCAGGCAAAGCACATTTACCAAAGTGCTACACACTTTACAAAAAAAGTGTTTCTCCACAAGAGGCAAGTTATAGCACCAGATTAGGGAAAGAAAGATGAGAGAGAGAGAGAGAAAACCAACCTGTCTGGCACTGCAGTGAGTCTGTGGCAGAGTGGGGACAGAGAGCAGTGGTCCTGCAAATCGAACCCTTTAATTTTCACATGCAAGATCAGCTACCTGACTTTCCCCACCGATGCCAGAGACTGAGAGAATGCAGAGTGCACCTGAGAGACCCAGGTGGCTTCTCACCACTGTTTGAGGGCAAACAGCCCCTGGTAATCCCTCTGCATTAAGAAATTAAACAGGCAGAACTCTTCAGTTTGCCGTTCCAGTTGTCCTTTTCTCTTTTTTTTCAAGGGTTTGAAAACGCAAGTGCTTGTCCAGCAGCCTTGCCTGGGTCCCCTTCAGCCCGAATCGTAACACCCTGAATTACACACTGGACGTGGCAGCTGCTTTTGGAAGCCCACTGTTAGTGATCAGCAGGCAAATCACTCAGCACATGCCTCTCCTGAAGGGAAAAGGGTCACAGTCTCAACTTGATCAGTCCAGGGTTATTCTGGCGTGTCTGACCATTCCCCAAATTCCAACTGGTGATCAAAGTTAAGGTTGAGGAACTCATAAAGCTCTTCCTAGTTCCTTGTTACAGGGAACATATTAATTTTTCTCCCCTTAAGCTGTTTTGCAGCCCAGAAGTCCACTGAAGTATTTAAATGCCTCTGGAGTTTGTGAGGAGCCCCACTTAGAGCTGCTGTCTCTGTGAGCTGTGCTCAGCAATTGGAACTGGCAAGTGAAAAATCTCCAGCCTTTGACTCACAGACATGAAAGGGAGGGAGAGAGACATTAATGACAATTACTTGAGACTGTGCCACCCTGATGGAATAACCAGCAGGGCCTCCTGCACCTGCAGGAATGCAGCCTGGGTTTCAATCAGCCCCAGCCTAGAGGCAGGCTGAGTATCCCTGGCTGTTTTGGGGAAAAGCAAGCAAAAAAGGGGCCTGGGACCAACCCCAGACCCTCCCCTCCACTAGTCAAGGGTCTGCCCAACCTGAGCACTTTTGTGGAGGTGATTCCTTAATTAAGACAAAGGCAGTTTAGTTGCAAATCATAAAAGCTGTCCAGAGAGCAGTGGAAGGGTTAAGCAAACTAAAAGATAAGGAGCTGCTCAGCTGTAGCTTAGGGAGGCTCACCTCCACCTCTACTTATATTCTATTACTAATATTTACTATTCGAAGGCATTAAAAATAAGGGTCCTCACTATAATTATTCTTTCACATAAACCCCACTGACAGAGAGAAGTATTGATATCTATAAAAACATCCCTGGACCATTTTCCACCCCTATAGAAAGTGGGCATTGAAGTCATGATGCCCAAACCTTCTGAACAAACAACACAGCTCCCCCTGGCACACAGGAGGCTTCACCCACCACACTTTTGGCAGAGCTGGGCAGTTGAGCTCAGCTTTTCAGGACCATCCCACCCACTGCAGTGTCCCTGTGACCTGCTGGGAGTCCTCCTGAGCCCTGGCACACACCAGGTGCTTGTGGGAGGAGGGAGACGGGGTCTGGAATGGGATTTAGATGTCCAAGAGCATTGGCATCAGTCAGACAAGACACCCAAGTTGGCAGGGATGAAAAGAAAGGGGTCCTGGAGACCCTGCCCCCAGTTCCATCCAGTCACCAAGCCCACATACAACGCCTCCCTCTGCCACTCTCTCCAGACCACCAAAGAGTAGGTGGGCAATCCTCAGCCACCTTCACCCTTGGCAATCCTCAGCCACCTTCACCCTTGCACAGCTCACTCTCATCGTGCCCAAAACCTTTTCTTCTGTGCCCCAAGGACCATGGGAGTGCCTGCTTTGGGAATGGTGCCACCAGAACACCCCGAGTGGTCAGAGGAGCTGCGCAGAACTGTTAATATTCCACAGCTTCCACGGTGCTTTAACCTGCTGGGATCACACCACCGAATTGCTGCTGATTTTTTTTGGCTCCCCAGGAGCTCCTCCCTTCACCAACCTGCCTGTGTTGGAGCCATACCTGTGGTTTGATGTGCACACCAGCTGGGTCCACCCAAGGGCTGCAGGAAAATCACATCCCAGGCTCCACACAGGAGTCCAGCCCCCTCCAAAGCATTCCTGGTTCTGATCTAACTGACACTGGGACCACAGCACTGCAACTCCATCAGTCAAGTGTCTGCTCCTGCCAAATATGATTTGGTCTGCACTGAAATGAAAACAAACAAGCTCAGAGTGAGAAATACAGAGTTCAGCTTCCAGAGCTCTTTGGAGCTGAACCCAATCCACTCTTGGTCATTTTTCTGCCTCCCTTTCCCCTGCAGAATGAGGGGGACTGACATTTCCCCATTCCCCAGATGAGGTATTTCTATTGCCATTTGTGAGGGCAGTGCTCTCTGTACTTCACCTGGAAGATGTAAAGTGCTGTGTGACACACTGATTTACGCCAGCCCACGAGAGACCAGGCTCTGCTATCGTTATTCTGATGAATGCTCTACATGGGAAAATGCCTGATGTAATGATGGCTCTGGATGCAGTGATGCAGGTTGGTTTATTTCAAGCAATAACATCAAAGCAAAAGGTCTGCTGATTCAGCTCATAAAAATCATTGATGCATAAAACCCAACAATAATATCAAGAAAGGAAAGGGGAGTGGAGGATTGGGAGACAAGGAGGAAAGGCAACCCAGACCCATAAATGCACACGAGACAGTCTAACTCTTTCAAGAAGCATTTGCAAACACCCTCAAGTCTATGTGAAAAAAAAAAAACAAAAACCAATCTATGGGAACTGGAGGGAGATGGCATTAGGAAAAGTCATCTCTCTTCCACGTTATCTATCTTTGGTTGAAGCTTCTGGTCCAGCCAGCAGCCTTGGGAATATCTTCATTTACAATATTCCTTCCTGAAATCTGAAAGCAAATGGAAATGGAGGTCAGCACCTGGAGAGAGATTTCAAACCTTTCAAATGAGCACAAAAATACGGGCTTATCTACGCAGTGACAAGCGACCGTTGGCAGTCAGCCATGTCCCCAGTCCCCCCTCATAAATATATATAAATATCCCCTCACAAAGCCCCCAGTGAGGTGTCCTGTGTGTTAAATCATTGCACAGATCACCTCTGAAGAATGCAGGGAAAAGCATCCTGAGAACTCCAGCAGGGACAGCAGGTCTGAGGCAACTCCTGGGCTCTCCAGACCATTCCCTGCTCGGTATCATTTCAGTCCCATTTGTTGTATCCTAAATTCCTCTTCAGTGAGTCATGGAATCTAGCAGCTTATTACAAGCACTGCTTGACATAAGTGCTACTCCACAAACTGAGCCATAACACTCAGGATTAATACTGGATAAGCAAAAGGAGGTTCAGCCCCCCGGGAAGGGAGAGCTGTTTGCTTTTGTTGGATGAAGCGAGTGACTGCCCATAAATTAATTCAGCTCAAAACCCTATCTCCAGCACAGTGTTTTCTCCCCAAACAGCACTGCCAGGACATTTTTGGGATCCATCTCCCCTCTGAGGTTACAGTAGAGCGGGCCCTATTCCAGCCCTGCCAGGCATTCTTTTCCCAAGGAAGAAAAATTCCCTTTGTGCCACGCCAAAAGCTTTGAAAAGACCTAATCACCACTTGCATCTTGTGGCTCCCTGATGAAAGGCTGGGCAGGGAACTGGCTCCTCATTCCTGCTGCCATTTGCCAGGGTGTTTATCATTCCTGGTTGGGCTGTGGCTTGGTCAGCTCCACTGATGGGCTGAGTTGCCTCCCTCCTGCTGCCCAGCAAGAAGGTTCCTACAGCCACCAATTAGGGGCAAGCAAGTCATTATTACCTTTGTCTAAATCGATGTTCTTTGCTGGGAAGCTTCTGGCTTGCTCAGCCTTCTCCTTCAGGATGTTGTTTTTGTAATCTGCGTGAGGGAGGAGCGTGGTTCAGGCAGGCATTAGAATATTAAAAGAAAACAAGAGTTTTATAGGCAAGACAGACACGATCAGGCTTTCCTTGATATACTCCAGGCCTTCAGATTTCTGGGAGTGGAGTTACTCAGCCACTCCAGCAGCAAAAAGGAAAGCTGCTCCCACCTCATTTTTGCCCCTGGCCCTAATCAGTTATGGATATTTTGGGTTCCTTCTTCTCACAGGAGAATCCCACAGATTCTCCCAGCACGTAACAGAAAGTTCTGGGTCATCCACCCAAAGCTCACCCAATGCAGATATTCAAAGGATTTGCCTTTGTTGCAGATTTTTTTCCTGCCATTTCCCCCCCCCCACAGTTTTGTTTGCCCTAATTGCTCTCACAGATCTGGATCGAAGGCCCAAATGCTCACTGAATTTTTGACATCCAGGGAGGATGAAATTTGACACATACCCAGCCTGATGTCTTCACTTTTGTGGGGGGTCAGATCTGTCGTGTCCACTGTAAATTCCTTAAGGTTCACATCCTTCCTGTAAAGGGAATAACAGTGGAATATTGTCACGTCCTTTAATAACTGTCTCCTCTCACACTTTTTCACAATAGCTTTTCCAATGGGACTTCAGAGATTTTAAGTTATAGTGTTTATTTGGTATAGCTGGACCTCTTTTTTTCCCCCATGTGTTTGTCCAGAGCTCAGAACAATGGACAGCCAATCCTTACTGGAACTTCCCATCCCTTCCACTTTAATAATACAAAATAAAAACCATAAAGGAACCCAAACACATGACCTTGGCCCCCTCCCATAGCAGATCTGTGCGTTATTCCTATACCACTAATTCCTAATGATGTCCCGCAGAACCAGGATCTGTGAATCAGTTCCCAAAGCAGAACAAGAGGAAACGCAATTGCCAAACCAGCCCCACAAACCACTTTCTCCTTCTAACCAAATCCTCAGCTGCTTCAGGTTCTTAATGACAACTGAGGAAAGGGGCCACAAGTTCATTTTTATGCCTTTCAATCCTAAATAACAAACCCTCTAATTATACTCACTCTCCATATTTCTTCACATTATATTCATAACCTGAAAAGGGAGAAGAAACAGGATGAGCAGTCAGGTCCTGTGCAACCAACCCCTTGCTCTGACAATGATAACCCCTGGTATCTTTTCACACTGTTCCTTATTTGTGCTGCTTCACAAGGGTCCCTTTCACAATCCCCCCAACACCCAGGAATTAGAGCTTCCCTTTCCTTTCCTCACCAGCTTCCCAGTGGTCTCCCCAGACCGATGGGTGACCAGCTGTGAGAAGCCACAGCCACCGCCACACCTCATTTCTTTCTCCCTCCCATTTATCACAAAAATAGGAACTTCTATTTTTTGCAGAAATTAGCACTTCCAATTTTCTTCTCCCTTCCAACAGCGCAACTCAGCAAATCACGAGTGGTATTTGGTCAAAGGTTGGTTCTTGATGACCTTTGGAGGTCTTTTCCAACCTTAACGACTCCGTGAAATCAAAGCCTGGAAGTTTTTACACCCCACTAATTAATCCCTCGCGGCATCAGCACCTGCAAAGACTCCCCCCCTGTGCAGGCTGCTGGTTTTCCAGGAGGGGGATCCCTGCCTTCAGCAGGAACTATCTGCAGAATCATCCCAGGATTTTCCCTACAAGCAGGACAGGGTGGGTTCTTCGGGACTCACCTCTCTGCCGGCGCTTGCGGGTGACGAGCACCACAATGATGAGGAGGACGATGAAGAGCAGCAGCGTTGCCAGGATGTATCCCAGCTGCTGGAAGAAGTGCATCCGGCTCTCGGGGATGATGACGTTTATCACGTTGTGGCCCCTGACCACGTTTGGCTCTGAGAGAAAGGCAAACAGGTTGGTCACTGTGATCGGCACCCAGAGCAAAGCAGGGTCACGCGTGGGGCCGTTTGTGGGCACCAGAAGGATGTTGAGGGAGAAACTCTTCTGAGCTGCTTGAATTAAGGAGCAAATCCCTGCCTGATCTACAAAAGCCTCAGGTGGGAGATGCCTGTGCTCTTCACGAGACCACGGTTCCCAGGAACATGAAGTTTTAATGTTGCACGTTCCCTTCCCGCTGCCTGGCCAGCAGTGCTCATTGCAGAGGGGAAGTTCAGAGAAAAGTCACCCCCAAACCCAGCCCCAAACCTTCCTGAGGGGTAACACAACCCTCCTCTGGGTCCTTTACAACACCCACCCCCCCCCCATCACCGCTCAGGCTCCAGACGGAGAAAATATGAAGCAACCCCTCCCTGCCAAGGATTATAATTTACAGAGCGGGAGGAATTTGCAACGCCAAAAGAATAAGTTTCCTTTGAAATGAAATAAAAATCAATAAAATAAATAAACCAAAAAAAAATTAAATAAACCCAACCACAAAGAAAGGCCAAGATTCCATTCCATTTGTGGGTGCAGCAGCATTTCAGTTCCCCAGCACGGGGAAGGGGAGCTCAAAAGTTTTACGTGGAACATTTTTGTAGATCTCCAATAAATAGGTCAATGTTTTACACATATCAAGAGGAAGCGACTTCTCTGCCTGCAATAGTCAGAGGAGTGGACAAATCCAGCCCTGGAACAGACTGCAAACCCGTAAGATTGTGCTTGGAGAGGTTTTTCTCTCTTCAAAACAGAGCTGAAATGATACTCTCACTCCCTGAGAGGGAACATTCACAGGCAAGAACCAGGAGGGAGTCCTGGCCTTCCATTCCCTTGGGAGTTCCCCCTGAGAATCAGTCAGAGGGAACAGGGGGAAAGATGGGGGGAAATACCTCAAAAGCCACAGTACCACTCAGCAGATGTGTTCTAATGGGAGGAATGTTGACATTTCTGGAAGTGCTGGCACAGTGACCGCTTCCAGTTTGTCAGGCGGTTTCTTTCCAGCGTTTAAAAAACACCCCCCCCCCAAAAAAAAAGTACAAATCAAATAACACAAGAGTGGATTGAAATAAACACTTTGAAAACTGAGGTGACAGTTTGCTAATGCCAGCAGCAGTCCTAGAAAATGCAAAAGTTTGAGCAACAGGCTCTGTTGTGCTGGCCCAGAGCTCCACTCCAGCAGCTTCCAGTCGATCCTGGCACTGCCAGCTGCCATGTGCTCCCTGGCTGCACTGCTGGAAACTGCCATGTGCTTCTCACCCCTGCCAAGCTCCAAAAATACCAAACCAAAAAACCCACTTGCAAAGCTGCAAACACTGCTTGTGACAGCTCTGCTTCATCACGCCCCTGGATCCTGAGGGGCTCCTCCAGCAGCTGCCACAACGAGGTGGTGCCACTGGAGCAGCTGCTGGGCCAGCAGTCAGCAAACAAAAGCATCCCATTCCTGGCTTTTTTGCTTTCCCACAGTCCTGCAAGGCAGGGTTAAGAGCTGAGCTAAACTTTAGGCAGCGTTGGAGAGGTCACTGTGACAACAAACAGTGCAAAGGGAGATTAAATAACTTTGGGCCTCCTTGGCTTCCTCGAGTAAGACTAAAAATACTTGTCACACCAGTGTTTAGGCAGAGCTTCACTGGTGGGCCTCAAAGAGCATCATCAGGAAGGCAGTAGAATATATCCCATTTTATAACTGGGGAAACTGAGGCACAGAGGGATAGCTGATTCAGTCACACCAGTGAATTTCAGGGCCCAAAACAGGATCATTGAGGTCCCACAGACTCTCCTCCTCGCCCTATCCTACACCAGAATTTAAGCTGAGGTGATGAAGGTTTATTCTGGAATCAAGATCTGATCTCTCGGTACATCTCATGCCCATCTGCCTCCAGTTCACCCACGGGATCTGGTTTAACTACTGAAAAATAAGTTCTGAAGAAAACTTAGATAATTACTTTCCCGAAGTGTCCAGGGTCAGGTTCTTCTGCTGGGGCAAGGGGAGAGCTCTCCACCAAGAGAGCTCACAAACCTGGCCACGGGGCTTGTTTTCTGCTCAAGGCTGGCAAAGGGCTGTGAATAGTTGGGCACTAAGCGTGAGACACAGCAGAAGCCATTCTTCAGCCTCTTGCTCCAAAGCAAACACCGAGCAAAACTGCAGACCTGCACCCCATTTCCACTGCTGACTCTGGGAGCAGAGCTGAGCTCCAGCCTCTCTTCCAAACAGGACCAAGTTTCCTGTCTGGAAATGGCTCCAGGCCTTGGAGCAAGGCCAGAAGCTGTAGCTGCTCTCTGAAACAGCCCATTTTGTCATCTCCTGAGCTTTCATTTATGTTGCATTCCCCAGAACTCTATAGAGTTTTCCAGGGAACAGGGCAGCCCCCCAACCCTCGGAGCTGCACACGAGCAGGGCAGGTCCCTGCAGGCTCCTGGGCAGCAGAGGGTTGGAACAAGCACTTCTCACACATTCTCAGGCACTCAGCACATTCCTGTGCGTGTGGTGCTCTCAGACCAGCCGAGGCTTCGCTGCCCGGAGGGGCAAAGCTCTTCCAAAAGGTTGCTCTTTCTGAGGGTGGAAATGGCTTTTCCCAGGAAGGAAAATTCCTCCAGCACGGAGGGCACTGCTGCCAAACCCAGGCAGCCCCTGGCAGGTTAAATCACATGGAGGCTCCATCTAAGTCCTGAGCAGGTAGGGAACTATTCAGCAACAGCCAAGACAACATCCAGGAAAGAGAGGAATAAATTCCTGGGTGGACAACTCAAAAAGAAGATCCAGTTTCCATCTGCACAGCATGATCTGGAGAGGGCTGCAGGCAGGGATGCTGAGATTTGGATGTCCTGGTCTCCGTGTCAGCCCCAACAGCCACCTCTCCTTAGCACTGCCAGGGTTTTCTGGACACCAACCTTAATCCCGGGGGGGGAGGTTTAGGTTTTCTGTGACTTGAGAAAGCCAATTTCTAGAGAAGAATAAACCTATTTAAAAATGTATGAAGCGTATCAAAATTCTGTATTAAACAGCCAATAAATATTAAACCACAATGAATATTTTAAAATGTTAATAAAGAACTATGCCCAAAAGACTTTAAAAAAATATTAAACTTGGGATTTTTATTTTATTTTTCTGCCTGAATGAAGCGTGATGGTTTTGAGTTTGGACAGGCTGTCAGATGATAGCTCAGTGCAGTGGAAAATATGAAAATTGGTTTAAGACACACACACACCAAAAAAAAAAAAAAGAAAAGCTGAAGGGTGGAGGAAAATTCCTGGGGCTTGATTCTGCACGGTCTGGCACCTTGCAGAGCCCGAACAAAGGGGAGAGAAACACTGGTGAGAGTGGTGGCATGTTGTAACAGCACAGGCAGAGCAGCATCAACCCCCTGCCCACAATTCACCCGATCCTAAAAGCGAGGAGGAAAGGCAGCCTGTTCCAAAAACAGCTTGTTTGCCTCGGGGCCTGTCAGCAGTGAGAGCAGAGCTGGCTCAGGACTGCCCTGGAGCAAAGGAGGCAGGAGCTGACGTGGTGCCACCACAGCACCGCCAGCGGGGTGAGCGACCCTCAGGGGTGGGACACTCAGGGACTTCACAGACTACTCTGAGTCGGAAGGGAGGATCGCAGCGTCCAACTCCTGAGCGAGTGGCCCCACACACTGCCCTGCTGGTGGATCCTTCACTGCCATTCCCACGGCCACGCACCCAGCTCCGGGTGCGCCCGGGGGACGGGAACGGCTCGGCCGCAACCCAGCCAGGCTGAACCCCCAAAGGTGCCCGCCCCTCAACCAGGAGATCCGCCTCCAGGGGCTTCCAGAGGCCACTCACCCACGGCCGGGGCGACGTCGTGGGTGGTGAGGTTGACCACCTTCCTCTCCCTGGGGGGCTCGGTCACCGAGACGCGGTAGATGCGGCGCTCGTGCAGGCCGCAGTAGTGGTGGTGCAGGTGGCACGAGTAGGTGCCCTCGTCGGCGCTCTCCAGCCCCGAGATGCGCAGGGAGAAGTCCCCCAGGGCGAAGGCGGCGTCGCTGACGTTCATCTTGCGGCGCAGGAAGAGGGGCCCGTAGGAGCGGCGCTCCCCGGAGGCGTACAGGTCGATGAGGCGGTCGGCGCGGTCGTGGGGCACCCCGGGGGGCTGCCTGTCCCAGTGCACCACCTGCTGCTCCTCCTCGCTGTGCCGCTCCGTCCAGATGTGGTTGCGGTTCACGCAGGGCAGCGTCACCGTGCTGCCCTCCAGGGCCACCAGCACCGGCTTCTCCCCGTCCCAGAACTCGCCGGCGTCCTCGGCTGCGGGGGCAACACGCGCAGGGTCACGGGATGTGCCCTCGAGGGTCATCCAGTCCAACCCCCAGCCCCGCACAGGAACGTCCCCAAGAGTCACCCCCTGTGCCCCAGTGTCCCTGGTCCCCCCAGAGCAGAGCTCAGGGCCTGCCCCTCCTAAGGAGATTGAGGGGACCCTCCTAAGGTCTCCCCTCAATCTCCTCTTCTCCAGCTGAACACACCAAGTGCCCTCAGTGTCCTCACATGGCTTCAAATCAAGGCCCTTCCCCATCTTTGTTGCCCTCCTTTGGACACTCTCTAATGGCTCAATCTTTCCTGTATTGCAGTGCCCAAAACTGCCCCAATATTCAAGTTGAGGCCCCACAGGTCAGAGCAGAGGGGGACAATCCCCTCCCTCACCCAGTGATGCTGGGCCTGATGCCCCCCAGGACAGGGTTGGCCCTCCTGGCTGCCAGGGCACTGCTGACTCATGGCCAACTGGCCACCCACCAGGACCCCCAGGGCCCTTTCCTGGCATCGCTTTCCAGCATCTCATTCTTCAGCTGCCACATCAGAACATACACCTTGACACACCTGTCCTGTTCCCAAGGACACCCTAAGATTGCTCTCCACCCCGCAGTCCTACAACACAACCCCTCCAAAACCCTTTAAGCAAGGCCACTTTCTTTCCCTTAGAACTGAGAGTTAATCTCTTGCTGCAGAAAGCAGGAAGTGCATTCCCTCTCCAGACTAAGAATGGAACGAGGATCTTGGATATGCTGCATCCCAATCCTCCGAGCAGGAAATGCTTTGCTACCCACAAACGCCCTAATTACTGGAGGAGTTGAAGCAGCACTGCTTTGCATTTTGCTCTTGGAAAGGAACAACAGAAGGGACCAAAACCCAGCTGAGCAGACTGGGGCTCACAGGGTGTTTTTACTGTGAGTGCAGCAGCAGAGGAGATGCATTTTCCCTCCAGCAGCTTCCCAGCACAACCAGCCCCAGCAGCTTCACTTGTGTATTTCTCAGGGGGTAGATTCAAATGACATGGTAGTGGTGGCTGTGTGGCATGGGTGGCACACACCGCAGCTGCCAGCAGCTCGCTTTTAGAGCTGGGCTTAAGGTGTGGTAACTCGAGGCGGGTTTTTAAGTACAGACTTCTCAGGACAAGCTCAGAAGCCAAGGTACAGGGCAGGTCCTTGTGGCTGAGCTGAGTGGGGATGGGCTGTCACCAGGCGTGTGCTGCTGCTGCTGCAGAAGCAAGGGCACAGTCTGGGAACTGGGCTGCCAAGAGTAAACAGGCTCCATGCACTGTTTGGCACACGCCGAGGAAGGAGGGAGGTTTGTAAATACACACACTGACAGAAATCTCTGAAGCTCAGGGAATCAGACAGCACAGCGAGCACAGAAGGGACACGGAGCTCTCAGCCACACCTACCTTTCTTGGTGATGGTGAGCTGGATTTTCACAGTTTCATACAAGTGGCAGTAGTGATGGTGAAGATTACAGGAGTATATGCCTGCATCATGCTCTGCAACGCCTGGTACAGCAGAGAAGAGAGGGGAAGCTGAATGTTTCATTCACTTCATCATTTACAGTGTTTCCCAAATCCTTGCATGGATGAAAAAGGCCTTTATACAACTTAGTTGTTGGGTGGGTTAAACAGAAACAAATCATCTCACTTAATATAATAATTTGTTCAGTTTGTTTGCTCTTGGAAGGCAGGTCATTGGTATTAACAGATGGAAACAGAAAGCTGATTTAAGTTTAGCTAAAGCAGGCATAGGAAGAACGACCATCAAGTGTTTATAGCTCAGGAAATTAAATGCAACCAAAGGCCCACAAAAAGCCCAAGTGGCTTCCAGGTCGTTACAAATTCCCTTTCAAAATGTGACTGTTTCAGAGGCAATTAAAACACCACCGCCAGGGCTTCAGAGAACCTCACAGAGCCACGGAATAATTTAGGTTGGGAAAGACCTCTGAGATCACTGAGTCCAACCTGTGAGCAATCACCCCCTTGACAGAGCATGGAGTGCCACATCCAGTTGCCTCTTGGACACCTCCAGTGGGTCGTGAACCCCCCCACCCCTCAAGACAGCGAAGAGCTCCCGCCTCGTACTTTTGATCACCAGGGAGAAGTTGCCCTCTACGAAGGCATTCTCGGGCATGAGGATCCTGCCCCGGTTGTAGGAGCTGTAGACACGCTGGTCCCCAGCAGAGTACATGTCACAGAGCCTCTCCATCTTGTTGTCCCCGTAGTAGGTGCTGTGCACGTCCCAGTGCACGACGCGCTGCCGGTCGTTGAGCCGGTCCTGCGTCCACACCATGCGGTGGCTCTTGCAGGGCAGCACGGCCTGAGAGCCCAGCACGGCGCTGATGTTCAGCACGGACACCACCACGCTCGCTGGGTTGGAGGCGTCAGCTGGCACTGAGAGCCAAAGAGCAGAGGGCAGAAATCAGAGCGAGCAGTGTGAGGGCAGTAGAGTAGGACCCGTCCTGGGGTCTCTCTGCACATCTTCCGCCCAAAAGTGACCCTCAAGGCCAACACATGGGCAATTATGACATATCTTGAGTTGAAAGGGACACACAGGGATCATCCAGTTCAACCCCTGGCCCTGCACAGACACCCCAGCAATCCCACCCTGTCCCTCAGAGTGTTGTCCAAACCCTGGGGAGCCTGTTCAGTGCCAACCACCCTCTGGGGGAAGAACCTTTGCCTAATAAAGAAATGTAATACAAAAATTTACCACACTGATTTCAGTCAGTGAAAGCAATGTCTGTGATGTCTGTTATCAGGATTGTACACCTGACCTGCCCTACCTACCCTTCCTGATCTTAACCCCCCGTTTAATCAAAGTTTAGAGACACCAGTGCAGGGGGTGCAGGGTTCTCATCCATGGGAATCAGCAGTGAAACCCCCAGTGCATGCCATGGATTCAGGGTCCCTCGCTTCTTCTCATGATCACAAAACCAGGCAGATGACAAAGGTGTCACTCACCTGAGTATGAACACACAGAACCTGTCAAAACAGATAATAAAGAACGTTACTGACAACAAAAGGAAGAGGTCACAACAAACACGCTCAAAATCAGCCACCTCCTCTGTTATTGTTCCATCTATTCCTCCCTCCTCTGTTAATATTTATGTATTCCCTATGCTTCTCTTCACCCTCCTGGCACACACTGTGTGCACAGTTAGTGCTCTGGGTGACACTGCAGCTCCCCCCAGCTCGAGAGACTCAGACCTGCACAGTCTGTGCTGACTCAGCAGGATCCCAGAGGTACTCTGTGGTCCCACAGTGTAGGAAGAGGAAAGCAGCCTGCAAAAGTATTTCTTAATCCCTTGTAAAAAGCAGAGCCAGCTCTTACTTCTTGAATCCCATCCACTTTTCAAGCCAAGAATTAAGCCACAGAAACTGTGGGCAAACTAGAAGCCCTCAGGCTGTGAAAGACGTGTTACATGCTCAGAGCTCTCTGGGCAGTGTCCTTGGAGCAGGTCAAGCAGAAAACTGTCCCTTGAGTCCTGCCTGAACCATCCCACCACTTCTCTCCTCCTGGGGCAGCTGCTGATGAAACCACCGAGTTCCTGCCTCGCACTGGAGGATGAAAAACTACCAGAGCAGAAGAGGAAACTGCAAACACCACGAGTGCCAGGTGGCTCAGACACTCCACGGGACGTGACAGCAGCAGCTCTACCTGCTGGGGCTCTGCTGAACTCAGGAAGAGCCTGGACACTGATCCAGCAGAGTTAGGATAAACAAAGAGCTCACTGGAGAAATGTGTCAGAACCCACCAGGTGTGTGGGTGAACAACAGCCCGTGGGGTTCACACTCCACTGGCCTCAGTAAGCTCAGCTCATTATTCCTTTGCACACCTCCAGCATCTCCTGCTCTGTCTCAGCTTCCTTTTCCCCTTTTCAAAAAGGAAGTGACATCTCCTCTCTTTAGGAGCTGGTCTAGCCCATGTTCTTCTCAAAATCTGCATGTGTCAGGCTCCTCCTTCCTCCCATAAATCCCATTGTCTGTGGAGGGGGTTTAATGGTCTCTGTAGAGCCATTCCACAGTTATTGCAAAAACAGCAGCCTGTGCCACCAAGATGTTTCCAAACCCTGTGGGGAGTGGCAGTGGCTCCATCCTGACTCCCTGGGGAGCTGACCCCGTGTCTCAGAGGCCATAATGGCTCAGGATGCAGCAGTAGCCAAACAAATGAGTTCTGTTTTCTTCTGGGTGCCAGTTTCTTTAAAACCCACTGAGCACCAACGGGGAAAAACATCTGGGCTCATCTCAAAGAGGCAAAGGAGGGAGATGGTGAGTGATACAGTTCCACCAAAGCTCCCATTTACCACCTGCCCCCACTGGCCTGGGAATGCAAGACTAAGCTTTTCAGTAAAACAAGATTTCCCTTTCAGAGCCCACAGATGGTCAAGCCAGGCTTTGAACTGGGCTTTTATCAAAATCTCTGTGTCTGTTTATTTTTAAAGGCTTCCTGGGACAACTTTCCCAAGAGCAGAGACTTCTGCTCTCAAAGAGGATGTCAGGGCTGCAGAGCCCTTCACCACCCAGCCAGCCCCAACAATTCCAACATCTCCCTGCAGGTAGGAACATGCAAAGAGCAGGAATGTGCTGCCTCTGCAGGAAGGAAGAGCCTTGTGTCTGGACAAGAAGCCAATCCCCCTCCAGGCCCCGGATAGGATCCCTCAGAGATCTGCCCCAACTTTCTGACAGGCAGCTCAGATATGAGCTCAGCTTTTAGAAACCCTTCCCTGCTCTGTGTGCTTCACCTTGGCTCCAGGCCCATGGGAGAGCTTGGGGAGCCATTCCAAACACGGAGCTGTTCCTCCCTGCCAGACATTAACACTTTGAGGGTGTGGTGCCTCTCCAGGAGGGACCATCTCAGCACAGATTTCCTCCCTGCCCATCTTCACTCATTGTGCCACAGCCTGGTTTCTGTGGGGACAGCAGGACTCAAACATCAGGGCTGCCTGGAACAGGGGACAGTTCATCTCCAAAATACACCTGTCAGAGATCACCCATCCTCAGGTGGGACACCTCTGCCTCCCCACAGCTTTGCAGCAGCCCAACCTGCTATTCCTGCCCTGGGTGCTCCCCAAGCTCTGCCAACATGCTAAACCTCGCTGGGGAGTCACTGGACTGGCTGGTGCTTCTGGAATACAAGATGTGGCCTCTCCTCCTTCTCCTTAACCCACCCCACACACTTGTCCTCTGAGCCACTTCAACCTTTCTTGTCCCTACGACTGATCCCCTAAATTGCCAATTCCTAAACCTTGCCTTGAGGCACTGCAGGAACTGGGCACGACATGGAAACTGGATTAATCAGGGACCAAACTGAGAACTCCTCACCTTCCCCCACCTCAGTGCTGAGGAGTTTTGAGGGGCTCAGGTGTTCAGCCCCAGCCTTTCACCAGCAGGGCTGGGAGGGGCAGGGGGTCACCAGTCCCCATAAAGCTCATGCTCCTCACTTCCTACTCTCAGCACCCTGAAAGAAATCTCTCCACACTGTTCTTAGAGCTGTGTTTGGTCCTTTGCTCACAGGGACCTTTCTTAGAGCCCAAAGTGCTGCAGGTGTGGATGTGCTGGGGCTTTGCAATTAATCCTCAAATCCCCTCCCGCCACCCAAGCCTCACTGGGGTGTCTCTGTTGTCTTGGGGATGATGAAACTGCTTTCAGCTCTTACAGAAAAACTGTGATTAAGGAAAAGGTACGAGCCATTCTGTTATTTTAGGCTCATCAGACTTGTCCCCATCCCTTTCTTGCACCTTACCCAAAAGTGAATTCCTATGTCTGAATGTCCTAATTCTGACAGGAGAAAAACAAACCAAAAAAAAACCCACAAACACCCACAACTTCATTTTTTAGCTCCATCTGAACACTCACACACACAGCAGCTGTTTTTGCTTCTTCAGAAGTACAAAATAAGTTCGGATTCTGCAAATCTAACTGTGTGAGGTTTACTGTACTCACACTGAAGCTTATTGTTTTTGAATTTGCTGATCAGGGCAACTGATAGGAAAAAGCAGATTGCACAAACATGCTGAACAGAGCACTGCTTCAACGACCTCAGACATTTCTCCACTCTCTCCCCAAAAAGCAGGAGAAATCCATGACTCCCTCTCCTCCACGGACGAAAACACAGCTAACTCAGGAACCTGAACACAATCTCACAAAGACAACAGTCCCAAACCTCCCAGCAGCTGAAACACAACCAAGTAACAGCTCAGAACTTACTTTGCTGAAGCAAAATGTGCCACAGGAGGAGTTTTACAAGTTGCTCCATTTCTTCGGCTCCTCCGTGTTTTCGTCTCTCTTGAAAAACAAGTTGAATTCTTTTTCTTTTTTCCCTTAACTTTTTTTTTTTTTCTTTTCTGTAGCTGGAAAACACTATGACCTCATCAATTTACATCCAGAAAGCTGTGGACAGCAGCTCATATTCTGCAGAATTACTCCACCTCCAACTTCCAACTCCCCACCTCCCCTCTCTGCTCTCACTCCACCTCCTTCCCTTCCCTCACACTTTCTGCAGATCCCTCTGAACTCCCTCCCTTCCCTTTCCCCTCCCTCTGGGTCTTTCTGATCTGCCCCTGACTTTGATGTCAAAGTTTTATCGGGTGAAGTTGGTCCCACACAGCTCTGGGCTCACAGAACAATCTTCCTCCCTCCCTCTTGGGATGGAACTAATTTTCCTTGTGCTTTACTTGATCCAGCTGTTCCTGCCTTTGTCTGACACTCATCCAGCTGTCTGCTTGAGACTGGATTTATTCTGCTGCCTTCAATGGCTTTTTGATCTTTGTCTCCTCATATGGTTTTACTTCAAGCTCGAGTCTCCAAAAACAACCTAGAAAACAATATTTACTCTGTCCTGTAATTTGTAAGTGAGGGCTGGAGAGCAGCAACAGGATAATAAGGCCTAACAACCTAAACCATGCAGGTGACTGAATTAGCCAGGAGTCTTTTAATGCAAGACTTGCAATAAAACTACAATGAGTATTAAGTCAGGAAAAGTGTAGCTTCTGTCAGTGTATGCTAAAAAACAAAATATGGTAATTTTTTTCTGTTTTCCTGCATTCTGTCGTTAGATTATTGTTGTTTAGTTACTATCATTTAGTGGATTTAACAATAAAATCAAATTAGTCATCAAGTGGAAAATGTTGGGGAAGGGGAATTAAAACTTATTGTTATTAAATGCCTGTCTGCAGATCAAAGCTAAATATATGTGGGACTCTGTAGCAGAGTTTAAAGACACAAGCCTTCCCGTGGCATCCATGGAGATAAACTTAATTGCCCCACTTCAATTTTTCCTGCTGACATTTTTCTGTCTCTCTACTACACCAGAAAATAGATTTCCTCTATCCCAAGGGGAAAATGTTTCAGGAAAGTGGAGGGCATTATAATTATGCCAAAACCCTAAATAAACATCTAAATAATTATACACTGCAACCATGGAACTTGGGAAGCATCCAGTCTAGATCAGAACTTCACCTAGTCCAGGATCCTGTCTCCAGCAGCAGACAGAGCCAGAGACTTCCAAAGACATTCCAAGAAACTGGAGCTATTAATATGATTATTATATAATATGACCATGAAAAGAGCCTGCTGTTAAAACTCCAGCAGGTTCTCCCCACTGCCCAAAACAGATCCAGAGAACTGCTGGTTTGTGTCTAGGGACAAATTCTGAAATAATCTTCAGCTGAGAACCCCACAAAATTTCCCTGCAAACTCCAACTCTGGCACTTCTGGGAAGTGGGGAGGTTGAGGGGGAACGAGGTACCAACATTCCCTCGCTCCACGTTCCCACACTCATCACCTGAGCTGCGTCACCACCTCCCTGCTCGAGGGTCCAGCCTAATTATAACCCTTTCCAAACCCATCAGCTCGGCTTTGCAAGCCTCAGGAATTCCCATTAGTCCAATTCCATAACCACCTCCATGCAGCAAAGGCTCCTGATCCCCCGTGCCCCTGAAGGGCAAAGCTGCTGCCAGGTGTCCCAACCAGAGCAGCTGAGGTGCTGGGCTGCTGCTGAGCCAGGAATCTCATGGAAAAGGAGCCTTTCCCACTGTCTCTGTCAGCCCAGGGAGCCACACCAGGCTCAGATATGACAGCCCTTTGTTGAGTTGTGTCAGAGCAGAGCCTGGAAAATGTTTGGCTGGGAGGCAAAGAGCTGTTCCCAGTGCACAGCCAGCACACCCAGCACCCTCTCCTTCCTTGGTTTCTCTCAGCCTCAGTCAGAACCTTCCAGGCTGCAATTCCACGTTGCTTTTCCCACCTTCCCCTCTCCTGGCTTTGGCACTGCAGAGGTTACTGCCTGGTCCTTGCAGGGCTTCTGGGAGGGCTGCAGATTGCTGTGGTTGCTGCTGTCATGAACTGGATATTTCCTGACTGAGAGGAGCCAAGTCCAGGCTGAACCCGCTGAAGTCTCCTAAAGAAAATCACCCGCTGGAAGGGAAGAGCAACAGCTTCTCTGGGGTCCACAAAGAGAGGAGCAAAGGGACACAGGAGCCTATTTTGCTGATCTCTGCCTTTTCCTCACTCTAATTCTGCACAGCCCCTGCTTCCTAGAGCTTTGCTGCTCCAAAGAAATCCTGGAAGAGCAGCTGTGTCAACACCTCGCCCAGTCAGGAGCTGAATTCTTAAGTCGATTCTCCATGGACGCTGTCCTGAGCTGTGTTCCCTCCTCTCTCGCTCCCAGGGGAATTTGGGTATTGATTCTCACAACAAGCACCATCCCTTGGCTGCCCACTGCCTCCCAAAGAGCTGCCTGCCCTCACCACAAAGCCTGACCAAAGCAAACAACCCCATCCAGGCCAGGGAAAGGCACCTCCCAGCAGCTCTGCAGTGGGTTTTGCAGGCTCTGCACCTGCCACCCTCATCACAGACCAGCCCAGCAGCAGGGGAAAGGCTCCCATGTTTCCAGAGTCACCCCTTTTTCAGAGATGAAAGATGTGGCACTAGAAAATGGGCATTTCCCATCCATTTCAGATATGAGATGTGGTGACTCGGGTGGACAGAGCCCTGCCAAAAGACAGCACACGGCTCACAAGGTTAAGGTCTGCCAGGAGGTTTCCTCCTCCCCCACCTCTTCCATTTTTAACATTTTTTTTTTCAGGACCTCCCAGTAAATCTGAGTTGAAGGCCATCAGTCAGAAAAGCTGAGCAAGTATCAGATCAGGAAGAAGGTGATGCCAGGAGGAACCCTCCATCCTTTGTTGCAGTTTTGAGGACCACTAACCCTGGGAAACAGGAGTGGAAGTAGTCACTTCCCCCCCATCTTCACAGCTATAAATACATGCATTAAAAAGGAATGCCAGGATTAATTAACACAAGTTACAGTACAAGGCCCTACATCCAGGATTTGTCACCACTCCAGGCTTATTATGAACAACTTCTTCAGACCTTCTGTGAATACAAAAATCCAACTTGGAGCAAGAACTGCGAACCAAAAGGACAAAACTGAAACCCAACCACAATAACAGGGCTGTGGAGTGAAGCCTGTCATTACTGCAGTGATGTAACAAGCCTTGCACCTCTCAGCCCCAGCATTTACCAGGGTTGTTCCCCAGCCGTGAACACCAAAGCCCCTGATTTGCCTTCTCTGAAGAGGCATGTCCAGAATGACAAGTTTGAAGGTCTGGCCAGATGTTTTTCTGCTTTGTTTCACATCACTGGAGTCCACTGTAACCACCAGCCTGAGGTGCAGCTGCGGGGGCAAACACAGGTCTGGTGTGTGAGGTGGGCAGGTCTCTGACACCCTTTGTTCTGGGGGGGTATGGAATGATATTGTGGCAATAATTAACAACTAGAAGAAGGTGAAGAGAGCTGAGCTGGGCTGTGCCCCAGCACTCCTGAATCACGTAGTCACAGAATCACTGAGGTTGGAAAACGCTTCCAAGATCGTGGAATCCACCCTGTGCCCCATCCCCACCTTGGCCCCCTGCCCAGAGCTCTGAGTGCCACATCCAGCCATTCCTTGGACACCTCCAGGGCTGGGGACTCCAAACCTCCCTGGGCAGCCCCTTCCAAGGCCTGACCACCCTTTCCATGAGGAAATTCCTCCTGATGTCCCACTCAAACCTCCCCTTCGTTCTGAAGCAAAATGAAGTCTCCCAGGGACACTCCATGGTTTTGGGGGCTGTCCTTTCCTCAACTTCTCGCTCTCCTGAATCTCCAGCTGGAAAGCTCTATTTCCAAGGCACTGGAGCATAAATTAATTAATGTGACTGTCCAGGTATGCAAGGTATGCAGTGAGCTGGAATGCTGAGAGGTTTCTGATCTGTTTAACCTGCTGAGCTGTGCAGATTGCCCAGGACAGACCTGGCCACGCACAAAACGAGAGGTTAAACTGCAGCATCCAAGCAAACCAAAGGGATTAAGGTGTTGGTGTGTTCTTCCAGCACTGCTGTCCTCACACCAGGTCACAGCTCTGTCTGCACCCTCTGCCATCAGCACCTCCAAAGCTCTGTGGTTCCTGCAGCAGCTGGATGGCACAATATTTAAACACCCCCTTTGGCCGGGAAGCAGCTCAGCTCCAGATTCCTGGGATTCATCTCAAAACCATTATTAATAGGAACCAGTTACAAAAACAGAGAAATTGCCCAGGAAACCAACACAGATTACTTTTTTTTTTTTTTTTTTTTTTTCCCCAGACAGAAGCTACCCAAAAAAAACACTGACCAAGGAGAGAGGGGAAAATAACAAGCAGCAAAGCAAATCAGGGGTGGAAACAGAGGCACAAAGAAGCACCTCGCTGACACCCACAAAGCAGGTGTAAATCACAGTTTTCTCTTAAGTTTAATATTTTTGTGGCATGAACCGAAGTGTTTGAAAAGGTAAATCTGGAAAGTCAGTTCTCCTGAAAAAAAAAAAAATAATTAAGAAGCTTGTCATGATTGTTTCAGTTTAAATGTCTTTAAAAACTAGACAACCTGGAAACACAGTAAATGTTTTTTTTTCCTGGTCCCTCACTCCCGTGTGAAGGCTCTCTCTTGGTGGTAGCACTCTTGTGTCTGCCCCACACAGCACAGGCAGCTTCTGGGAGGAAAAGTCTGTAGTCTAAACAGACAGGAGCAGGGGGGAGACATGGAACACAGAAGGAAATGACTCACCCAAATCCACAGAGCAGAGCAGTGGCACAACTGGGAGCAGAGTCCGAAGCAGCTGCAGCCCAGGCTGTGGTACCTCAGTCAGGCTGTGCTGCCTCTGTCACTCTGGACGGCCCTGGCACTGTGGGAGCACCCACTGTGCTCAGGGAACCAGCTTAAACAAATCTCTGCCCTGTCTCCAGTGGAACTCAGAATCTGGACACAAGCCTGGTTTTTAACTTTACAATGGCCTCTTGCATCCCTCTTGCCTCAGATCTTCCCAATATTCCAGTTCCCTAGGGCTAACAGGAGTAATTTCTACCTGCTGGTTCTTTGCAGGACACCACAGCGAAATTATCTTTTGTAACTTTTATCTCATTTGAATTATTAAGTACTCTTGTCTCCCAGTCTATTCTGAGAGCCAGCAGTGTCATCAACAGAG